TTTGGGGTGGGGGGGGGGGGGTGCAGGGGTGCAGGGGTGCGGCGCCCGTCGACTCTGGGCAAATGTCTCGGGAGACATCTAGGAAAGCGCGCCTCGAACTTGTGCAGCAGCGCGTCCCACTCGTGCTGAAGCCGCTCCTACAAGCGTCGCACACGCGGCGCCGTGTCACGGACGCGCCCAGCCTGGGGCGGCGCCTCCTCTGCTCGCCGCGGCGCGCGCCGCGTCTCCCCTCGGCAGCGACGGGCTGAAGGGCGGCTTCGCCTTGCCGAACGCCTCCGCGCCGCCCTCGCCGCCGCCGTCCGCCGTGCTGCCGCCGCCTTCGCCCGCGTCCCCGCCCGCCCCCTCCCCGCCGCTGACGCCCTCCCCGCCGTTGGCGCCCTCGCCGCCCGCCGCCGCCCCCTCCTCGCCGAGCTCCTCCGAGATGGTGGAGAAGGCTGCAGCGAGGAGCCGCGAGAGCGACGCCGACCTACTCTCAGCCGATTCGCTCAGCAAGCCGGGGCGCTCTCCACTCACCCACGGCACGCCGCGGGGAGAGGCTCGGCCACCTCTGCTCCTGCCCCGGCCCCGCCTGCGGCCCGCCCTGCGCGAGCGCCCACTCGCTCCTCGCCGGAAGCGACGGCGGCGAGGGCGACTCGGCGGGGTGGCTCGAGGAGAGGGACGCCTCGGACTGGGACGAGGAGAGGGAGACGGGCGCCTGCTCGCGGCCGCGCGCGGTGAGGACGGATTTGCCTCACACGCGCCGCCGCCGTCGGGTGCCCTCACGCAGAACGACCGCGCGGGGGGGCGGTGAAAAGGGGGAGGAGGCTCTCGCCTCGCCGTCCTCCGACCGTCCACTCCTCTCTGCTCCCCTCTGCTCCCCTCTGCTCCTCTCCGCTGGTCGCGCGCCTCTCCGTCCTCCAGCTGGGACTCGTCGGGTAATCTCGGGTAATCTCGGGTAATCTCGGGTAATCTCGGGTAATCGCGCCTCTCCATCCTCCGACTGGGACTCGTCGGTGAGCGGCGCGCGCGGGCGGCTCTTGCCCGCCAGGGAGTGCAGACGCGGCAGCGCGCCTGAGGAGGGCTCCGACTCGAGGGTCGCAGATGCGGCCCAGGCAGAGTGCGGCGACGGCGGACGCGCCGATGACGGATCGGACTTCGCCCGGCTCGGCGACGGGGTACCTGTTCACACACCCGCGAGGGGGCGAGAAGTGTGAAGAGCGCCCTCTTCACAGCTCGTGGTGGTGGTGGTGGGAGGGGGGGGGGGGTGGGGGGGGGGGGCGCACATGGGGAAGCGGAGCGGCACGAACGCGCCGTCCTTGGCGCGCACCCGCAGCGTGAGCTTCTCGCCCTCGGCCACGAGGGGCGTCTCCTCCCTCGCCTACCGACACCGCCCGACCGCCGGCTGACCTCGGCGGCCTCCCCGCTGCCGCCCGCTGCCTCCTCCTCCCTCGCCTCTGCGCGCGCCACCAGCGCACGCAGCTCGGCCAGGTCGTCCGGGTGGACGGTGCCTGCTCACACCAACCTACCCTCTCTCGGCTCATCTCGGCTTCATCGGCGTCTTTCGGCTTCTCTTGGCGAGGTGGTGCGAGGGCCTCCTTTCGCAGCCCGGCGGGGCGGGTGGCGCGGAGAGGAGGAGGGCTCTCCCCTCTCTCAGCTCATCTCGGCTCATCTCGGTGAACCCGGCGCCGATTGTGTCGCGCGAGGAGGAGAGCTCGGTCGGCGCGTAGCCGAGCAGCCGCTTGCACTTGTGCGACATGTAGAGAAACACGCCCTGGCGCGAGGCGTGGAGGATGAGGTCGTTGCATGTCTGCGCGAGCTGCCAGTACTGCCGCATCTGCGAGCGCAGCATCCGCATCATCTGCTGCTGCATCCGCTCGCGCTGCCGGTCGAGCAGCACCTGAGCAGCCCACACTTGCTCATCATTCACCGCTCGGAACAAGTCGGCGCTGCCCGGCGAGCAGCACCTATTCGGGCGCCGCTCGTGCACTGGCCGATCCGATCCGAGCCCACAAGTCTCTGCTGGCCCGGGCGGCGTTTGCTCGCTCGAGCCTCCCCCGACCCATCTCGACTACATCTCGACTACATCTCGACCATATCTCGACTATCTGGCGCCTTTTGCTCCAGCTCGAGCCTCTCCCGCCGCACCCTCTCGCGCTCAGCGAGCGTCTCGGCGCGCAGCCGCTCCATCTCCGCCTGCTGCCGCGCCTGCCGGCGCGAGAGCGCCGCGAAGTGGTGCCGCATCACAACCTGCCACAGCCGCGCCACGTCCTCGAGCCGGATCGGCTTGACGAGGTACGACTCTGCGCCCGACCGGATGCACTCCTCGACCATGGCGCGCTGGTGTATGGCGGACATCATCACGACGCAGCGCTCGACCCGCTCGACCCGCAGCGCGAGCAGCAGCTCCTTGCCCGACATCCGGCCCGGCGCCATCACGATGTCCACCAGGATCAGGTTGAACTGCTCTGTCGCCGGCCGCGCGGCGTCGGCGGCGAGGAAGTCGAGTGCGGCCTCGGCCGAGCGTGCGATCGTGACTTCGTAGGAGCACTTCTCGCAGAGCGCCTGCACGACCCGCGCCGCAAAGTCCTCGTCCTCGACCACGAGGATCCGCAGCCTCTCAAACCCGCCGGCAGTATCCTCCTCGGCGGGCGGCAAGGCGCTGCGGCTGGGCGGCGACTCAGGCGGGTGCGCGGTGGCTGTGGCAGCCTCCGGCGCGGGCGGGTCGGGGGCGTGCATGCGGCGAGTTGATGGTCCTTTCGATGAGCAGCTTCAAGAATTTGCTGCGCGCTCGAATCCTTTCCAGCCTACTAGCCTACTGTGGGAACCTGGGAACAGCTGAACGCTGCTCGCCAAAGCTCGCCCCAGTACATCTCGGGTTGACTCGGCCAGACTTAAAACCCCGAGAGGCGTGGGAGTACCTCCCCAGCACTTGGCGCGGTGTGCCCCCGTCCACTCGGCGGGATCGCAGCTGCCTCTGCGCGTCCTGGGGAGGTACAATAGTGTCGCCACCGGAGAGACGACTCGACGCCGAGCTGAGATCGGAGATCAAAGCTCTGGCAGGTCGCACGTCGCTCCTTTGACGCCGACGTGACTCACCCGCCGCCGCCTCCTCGTCTCCCCTTGTCCCTCACGATCACCGCCCCGCAACCGTAGGTGCATCTGGAGCGGATCTCTCCACGGTGGGATGCCTGGTCTCTTCCGGGTCCTCTCCGCCCGGTTCATCTTTTTCATCTCTTCTCTGTATGTGGGCTGGCTCTTCCAGAACCTAGTTCCTCGCTCTTCCATGTTGAGCTTTGGTCGCAGTGTGCGGATCAGTCTCCTCTCCACTCGCTGCGCCTTCCGTTTGCTCGCGCACACAACAAGCGGCACGGTAAACCAGGTGTGTGGCCGCGCTGCTCGGTGTGCCATGTATCGCCCATGTCCACCGCACCCAGCCTTCCTGCAGGTGTGGTATTCGCGCGAGTGCTTCACGGTCAGGGTGAAGTGCTGCTCCTTACTCTACTCAACATGTAGACTATAGTCGAGCGCGTCGGAGAGGTGTTTCGACACCGAGTGTTTGAACGTTTCTTCGCAGAAGAATTCTTAAGATACAAGCCTCTCTCACAGCACACTGGCACGACAAGGGCGCAGACTGGCGCGGACTGGCACACACACAGGCTCACCACCGGAGCCGCCTAAGCGACTCCGTTAAGAAACGTCGAGAGAAAAAATCTCTCGCCGGTGTTCACAGAGCTCTGTGAACACCGGCTACTCGGCCTTAGCCGCCGGTACGTCAACAGTGCGATAGCCAAGTATCGCACTGTTGGGTTCCGATGGTGTCCCATCACAAATTCGTGCTGTCGACAGATCATGTCCCTTGGTCGACTGCACCCGCCTTTGGACGGTTCTCCGACATGCTTAGATGAGTCTTTTTGTCTTTTTTTTGGCTCGCCTGGCCTTCACCAGTGCGAACATATTCTTGCTCGTAGGAGCCGCTCGTCTTTCGTCCGTGTGTTGTGCATGTGTTGGTTTGTTGGGGAGGGTACCCATTCGGTGTTGGTAGCGACCTAACGCTGCTTCATGAAGCAGCGTCAGGGCGCTCTCGTCACGGTCGGGCGTGCGAGGCTCCTGTGCCTCCGGTGCAGCCGATGCTCAGCCCTCTCCCACGGTCGCGGCTCGCCCGTCACCTCGCCTCTCCGCAGGGTTCATCTCTCGCGCCGGCTGCATCTCTCTGCCGGTCGCCAGCACCCGCGCCACCGACTAGCTGCACCGCCACTCGCGACGCGCCACCCTCGCGCACAGCCTGCATACGCTACTCCCGCCGTGCCTTTGCTACCACATGGATCGCATGTCACTGCAAACGCGCCCGCAGCCGCGCTTTAAAGGTCTGCCGTGCTGGCTGACATCTCACTCTCCCGCTCCTATTGCATCTGCCTCCGGCCCTGCCTCCCGCCTCCCAGCTCACATTTCACACCGCAGTAGGTGCTCCGGTCGACGCTGCCGCCGCTGCCACCGCTACTGTCACCGCTCGTTTGATAATCGACGCCACGCTTAGCGGCAGCGAGATCCGAGGTTCAGTCAACTTGCCTGGTGCGCTCTTGCGCGTGCCTTCAAGATCCACAAGTCAATTTGTACCAGAAATCCAAAGGTGGTGCAAAATGGATATCTCAAGATTGGCCTTTATTTCGCGCACCTGCTCTCCGCCGCCGCCGCTTACCTGCTGGCACGCCACCGCCCCGCGTCGCTAACTCAAGCCTCCCTGCTGCATCTTCGCACCCCTGCCACATGACTCGATCGCCGTCGCTGCTACCGCCCTCTCCGCCGCCCTCGAAGGCGCCACCAGCATTACGGCCGCCTTCATATCTCATTGATGCTGCCACCAACGCCACTTCCTCGATTCTGTGCCGCTGCAGCGGCGAGGCGCCGTCGCCACGATCGCCGCCAGCGCTGCTGACAGCCTCGGAGCGTCGCCGTGGCCGCGTTCTGGTCTGCCCACGCTTCCCTAAAATGTCTAGGACGAGCTCAGAGGCTAAGGGCGCATCATGTGGGACCATCTAGCTCTACTGGGTCCGCGACGGCGGTCGGCGCACCCCCGTCTCGAACGTGTGTGCTCTCTGTCTGTCTGTCAGCTGTTTCGGCTAAGTCGTTTTGTACCGGATTTCAATGTTAGTGGCAAAACCGCGGAACCAAAAATGGCGTTTAATTTCGCGCACCTGCTGTCCGCCGCCTGCGGCGGCGCTCCGCGCCGCTTGGGGCGCCTGCGGCGCCCCTGGGCGCGCTGCGCGCGCCTGTTTTGGGGAGGCTACCAGCACCGAAAAATTGCCGGTTTGTGCGAGGGCTGCGCGGAGGGCAGGGCAGGGCGGCGGCGAGCGAACTCACGTGTGCCTTCATGTGCGCACCGCACGAGAGCCAGGCGCACGCTTCGCACGGCGCTAGCCTCTTCGTCGCGGAGGTTGGCGAGGCGCTCCGTCGCGCAGGAAGCCTCTCGGCGCGCATCACCGGCCGGCTCGCTCGCATCGACCGCACGCTCTGCCGGGCGGCTCTTGTCGACGCGCGAGCAGGTGTGACCAGTGAGGTGGTGGTGGACGTGTCGCAGGTCATCGGGCAGCTCTTCCACGATGGCGAGCTGGTGCAGGTCCTCGGGGAGCTCAGCCCGCCGGCTCTTGCGACCGACCCGCCAACGCTCCGGGCGAGGATCCTCCGCAACGTTGACGGCCTCGATCTCGAGGCGTTTGAGCGCGCAGTCGCCGGAAAGCACACGTTTATGGCCGAGCGTGGGCTGGCGTAAATTTCTCGTCCGTGCAGCGTCGCCTGTCCGATCCGCGCTGTGATCTCGAGTTTCTCCGGTGCGCCGCGAGAGGCATCCACCGTGATCTACCTGCTGCGGGTGGGAAGTTCCGCTCCACGACCTGTTCCACGGCGGGTGGGAAGTTCCACGGCGGGTGCTCATGCGGTACGGCGGCGAGCGCAAATGGCGGCCGGCGCGAGACCCGCGAGACGCTCGAGGAGGCGGCAAAGCGCGAGCTGCAGGCGGAGTAGCGAGAGAGAGATGCGAAAGAACCAGCGAACCCTCGCTCCCTCTCTTGCACGCTCTATTTATCTCTTTCTCCCTCTATCCCTCCCTCTCTCATGCTCGCGCTTGATGACCGGGCTCGCCACACCTACTCATCACGATTGCAGGAGGAGTGCGTGTCGCTGCGCGCCGACCAGATGCGGCTCCACCTCACCTGCACATCTTCAAACCATGCTTCCATGACGCATGAGCGCTCCATGCGCAGTTCGTTGCGACTCGGCTTGGGTAGCCTCGCGGCGGACGGGCATGAGAAGTGATCGCGACATCGTTGTGTGCTCTTCCACACAATTAGAGAGAAAAAAACACTGCTATTTGAAAGCACAGCCGACTAGTTCGTACGGGGTGTGGAGGGTGAGTTGACCAGGGGGTTGTGCGCCGGGCCCTCCTGCTCGGCTCCAGCCAGTAGACAAGTCTTGTCATCAACAGAGTAGATGGAAAACACCCCCCGTTTGTGCCTGTAAGCCTGACCCTGGCCATGGCCTCTCTGGGGGTGAGCTGGGCCGGCCGCCTCCGGGTCCGCCACTCGCACGATGGGCTCGCGTCCGGGAGAGCATCCGAGACCCGCGGCTGTCCGCTCGCTGGGCGCGACCTACATGGAAATCCACTGCACACAGATCTGTGCTTTTGGCGCCTATTGCTCGCTCTCTGCGCAATCGCAACGCCAGAGGCCGTGCTTGGAGAGTGTGTCGCAGTGCTGCTACGTCAGTGGATTGAGCCGCGACGCAGGCTCCATCGGTGAGCTGCGGCGGCGCACCGGCCGCTCCATGCATGCTCTCCGGCGAGCCGTCGCAAACGCGTTTCCGTCCGCCCGTTTCATCCGGTTTGCCCGAGTGGTAAAATGCAATCGAATCTGCCCGAGTGGTCAAGTAAAACTTTGCCTTTCGAAAAGTTGCCCGAGTGGTCGAGTGGTCAAGTAAAACTTTGCCTTTCGTGTAAAAGTTGCCCGAGTGGTCTGTGGGGAAAAAACGAAAATCGAGACGGACTTCTTGAACGGCCGGGCAACATGTCTTCCTTACTATTATTAATTGATGCTTTTTGCACGGGTGAGCCCCCCCCCCCCCCCCTCCCCCGCGCCCACTCCCTGCCCTCTCCCGCCACGCACTCCGTCAGAGCCCCCTCCCCTCTTGCACAACAGGAATTTTGACAATTAACAAGATGGTGCACGTTTTGGTGTGTCTATTACTGAGTGTGTCTATTACGTCTCGAAGTTGCTATGTCTACTTTT